CATACAAATTGGACTTTAAGCCTTTTTTGTTAGGAAAACAGCATGCACTCACGGGAAATCTCTCAAATGAAAGAGGGGCAGGTGTCCATTAAGCACATGTGGACATCTGGAAATCCCCGAGCAAGCCAGTTGAAATGCCCCAACCTTTCTTTGAAGCTTACATTTTAGCAAAAGGGAAGGGTGGAAGCAGTGTACAAGGGAAATGGACACTTAAGTGAATTTAAATGAAAATGTGTCAGCAGGAAGCAGTGACCGACAAAGACAAAGACCGACACCTAAACTCAGATCATCAGGACATCTGAGCAGAGGCAGGACCTTGGATCACAGGTCTGGGAAGGAGGAAAGTCACTAGGGGAAATGCTGTAAGCCAGACACAACAGGTCTGGCACATGAGGCCTGGAATCAGTGCGGGGCACAGCTAGAAGTCAGGCCAGGGATGGCCTTGTAAGTTAGGGAAGGTTTGGGATGTGCTGGGCATCTTGAGTTCCACTGTATTTGCCAAGAAGGAAATGGACAGAGAATGAGGCCGAAAGGGGAGGAGTAGGTAAGACTCGGAGGTGGTCGTCACCACAGGCAGTGTTGCGAATGGGTGAGGAACACAGGAACCTTGAGGATCTATTTCCGAATCTGTTTCTGGACAAACCTAGACACTGGCTCAGTGAACCTTCCTTCAGATCCGTCAGCCCTTGGCCACATCGGTGAGGATTGGAACAACTGCCCCTGTGTGTGCCCACGCTTGGAGAGAGAAGTCTTTTATGACTCTGGGGATGAGCTACGGAGGAAGGGAGAAAAAGAAGGCTCTGGAAGAGGTCTTCAGCATTGTCTTGACTGGCTGTTGCAGTTGCCATCATTTCCGTTAGAGTGAGGAGAAATGTGATGGTCGCTCAAAACGAGGGTTAGGATGAGGAGTGGAGCTGGGGAGGCCTAGCTACTTCTTAGGCATCCAAGAGGAACTTGGATCAGCCAGTTCCAGTGTGAACTCATTGGAAAGACTGATGTCTGTTAATCAGCAAATATCCATGTATTTTTATGACGCTTTACCAAACATCAAGAACTGCCCCGGGCATGGATGTGTAGCAGTCCTATTCACTCCTCCCTGCTGATGTGTTAAAGGGATGTCACCTTGTGACAATGGACCATGAAGAATATTGAAGTGGGAAGGGGAGACAGATCAGCCAAGGGAGCCCCAAAGTTCTACTTCATGCTAAAAACCATCCCCTCAGTCTGGGTGGTAGCTCAGTCAGTAAGGTGATTGCCTCGAAAGCACAGGGGCTTAAGTTGAATGGCCAGAACCCATGCAAAACAGCTAAGCTTGATGGCACAGATGTGCGTGTAATCCCAGCACTGGGGAGGCAGAGACAGGAGAATCCTGGGACTTAGTGGCCAGCCAGTCCAGCCTATCTGACAAGATCCAGGTTCATGGAGAGGCCTGTTTCAAAAGGAATGAGGTGGCGTGATTTAAAAATACAGCACCTGAAGTTGATCTCTCTGCCCTTCATGAAGACTGTGTGTGCACACACATTTCTTATTACCAAGGCCTTGTGTGGAGCTTACACGCTAAAAGGGCCCAGGAGAGTGACAGGTTCACTGTGTTTGGCAGGCTCCCCTTACACCTCGTTACCATGGAGCTCCCTGTACAGGTGTCTTGGGCTGTCCACTCTCTCTGAAGTCAGCCACAGTGGCAGGTGCAGTGAGTTATTTGGCACCCAGAGGGGTACACGTGTCAGGTAATGTTGACTCCTCAAGGGGTGGGGATTGTGGCGGTGCCAAGGCTGTGGCCAAGACTACCTGAAAAGCTCAGCATCTTTGTTCCTGCTTGGAGTTCTTAAGGAGTTTGTTTGGTTGGTGTCTTTCTTAGTTGGGGTTTTTATTCCTGTGGAGAAACACCATTACCATGACAACTCCTATAACAGAAAGCATCTAATTGTGGCTGGCTTACCGTTTCAGAGGTTCAGTCCATTGTCACTGTGGTATGATCATGGCAATGTGCAGGCAGACATGGTGCTGGGGGAGCTGAGAGTTCCATGTCTGGATCAGCAGGCAGCAGGCAGTGGAGCTGGCTTGAGCTTCTGTGTCCTGAGAGCCCACCCCCTAGTGACACAATTCCTCCAGTAAAGTCACATGTCCTGATTGTACTGCTCCCTATGGGCCTGTGGGGGCCATTTTTATTGAAACCACCACAGAATCCTAGTCTCATTTCTGTTGCCATTATATAATATTCCGATGGGCTCTGAAGATCAGCAGTCAGTGTGTGTCTCCGGGGCAGCAGGAGTTGAAGTGCCTGAGGACCCTGTGGTTATCAAAGTGCCCTAGACGGTACAATCCAGGAAAGCTGAGGAGTGTTGGGTGACAGCAGGCAGCAGAGCAGGGAGTTTGGAGGAGAGAAGGCAGAAGTGACAGGATAGAGGGATGGACTGAGGAGAGAAAGCCTGGGCTGTTGTTGTGCAGGGCCTGAGATGAAATCTTAGAAAACAAAGGACATTCGATAACAGCCAATGTTAGGAGAAGCCCTGTGCTCTGTGGACTGTCAGAATACAACAGAATTCACCTCCATGGGGCTGCCCCAGGGTGCAGTTTCAGGACATTCGGTCACCTGTGCCAACATGGCATCTTTGGCTTGTGAAGCCACAGAATATGACTCAGAAGCCACATAGAGAGTAACTTATGCAGAGAGGCTCTTTCATGTAACTCTGTGTGGTATGAGTCTGGTGTGTCTGTATGTGCTCCTGCTGTGGTGTGAGCATGTGTGTATGCTGTGGTAAATGCCTGTCTTCTGACTTAAGTTTTGAAATCAGGATATTTTAAAAAGCACATAGGTGGGTTAATCTGGCAGCTTTCTCAATCACATGTCTCTCAGCAGTGTTCATATTTGCTCATTAACAGTCAGAAAAAAATCTAAAGACAAGCTGCATGGTGTGTACACTCAGGAGGCAGAGGCAGGTGGATCTCTGTGAGTTGGAGTTCAGCCCCTGTTATACAGAGTCAGTACCAGGACAGGATCCAAAGCCACACAGAGAAATCCTGTCTTGTAAAACCAAAAAAAAAAAATCTAAAGACAACACAACACACATAGCCCAGACTGTGTGTTTTCCATCACTGTGACTCATCATGTTTCTTACTCTATTCCTTTTTTAAGGACTTTCTCTGCCTTTTTTCTTTCTTCTCCCAAGCCTATTTATATTTTTAAACACACTGTAACCCAGTGTGTGTGTGTGTGTGTGTGTGTGTGTGTGTGTGTGTGTGTATCTTGCTGACCACATGGGTCTTTAAACTGGTAAGTGGCATGTCTAGGATCAAAGCAGTGGCCTTGGCAGCTGGCTCTGCCCTACTCCTTGGTTCTGAGAATCTAGCTTCGTGGTGACGGTACTGGCAGGAGCCACATTTATCACCCAACTCTGAGAAGTGTCTGGGTCCTTGCTGCCACCAGGTAGTGCACCACTCGCTGCTCATAAAACCCATTTAAGTGTTTGCTAGCAGGACCTCTGCAAAGAGCCACACTGGTTTTTGCCCGCTAACACTGAGTCGGGAAGCCATCTCCGAAAGTAACCGTGCCTCTGCTCCCACCAGCAAACAAAGCCCACCTAAGAAAATGCTACTACCAAGAAGCCATGCTTGACTGTCCTTTTGTGTGTCTAGAATCCTTTTTTAATGCTTTCTTGGGTTTTATGTGCAACTTCTTGCCAAACATTTGGGCGCTATATGTAAATGAACATTTCTCTCCCACCTGCCTGTTCCCAAATACCCAGTGGTCACTTCCCAAATAATTGACTCGGAAGCTTAATTACTTATAAATGCTCAGCCAATAGAAACGTCTGGCTACAGAAGCCTGTGCTAACGAGGCCATGACTATAGCTGTCTGAGGTGTGACTCTCCTGTTTGGCTCCATGGGCTTGGGGTGTAGCTCAGTTGTAAAGTGTTTCCCGGTATGTATGAAGAAGCCCTTGGTTACACCCCAGCCTCACATAAACCAGGTTCATGCCTCTGATCTCACACTGGGGAAGTAGAGGCAGGAGGATCACAAGTTGAAGGTCATCCTTAGTTACCCAATGAGTTCAAGGTCAGCATAAGCAATACAGGAACCAAGAGATAAGTAGGTAGGTAGGTAGATAGATCAATATCACCCATTTTTATTTTTCATGTGATCTGTGCCTCCTGAGGCCATCGGGGCTTTGAATCCTTGCAGGTTCTGTCCCATGTGCCAGTGTTCACACTCAGGGTGTGCCCTTGAGCACTGTGTCAAAAGACTACTGTTACTTCTCCTTTTCTGTGTGTCTTAGTTTGGGTTTTTATTGAGACACCGTGACCAGGGAAACTCTTATGAAGAAAACATTTAACTGGACGGCTTGCTTACAGTTTCAGAGGTCCAGTCCATTGCCATCATGGCAGGGAGCATGGTGGTGTACAGGCGGACATGGTGCTGGAGCTGAGAGTGTACATCTTGCAGGCAATAGGAAGTCAACTGACTGTCACACGGAGGGAAGCTTGAGAAAAGAGATCTCAAAGTCTGTCCCCACAGTTACACCTTTCATCCAACAAGACCACACCTACTCCAATAAGGCCACACCTACTACAATAAGGCCACACCTACTCCAATAAGGCCACACCTACTCCAATAAGGCCACACCTACTCCAATAAGGCCACACCTACTCCAATAAGGCCACACCTACTCCAATAAGGCCACACCTCCTAATAGTGCCGCTCCCTTTGGGGGCCATTTTCTTTCAAACCACCACACACTGTGTTTCTTCTTAGAACTCTTTTTGTTGTTGTTGTTTTGTTTTGTTTTTCACTAGAAAAAATATTAGTGACTTGGGTCACCTTTGTCAAAGGCCATGGAGTTGGTTAACTAACCACAGGATGTTCTGGGAAACTGGAAATTCGGTAACAGGAAGGAGCACGCACCAAATAGGGCAGTGCGTCCATAGGTCCTGGTGGTCTTAGCGGGTGCCTCTTGCTGGCCGGGTTCCTCACTGTGTGTCGCTCATCTTGTTGTCCCCAGGTGCTTTCCCACATACCTCCTGGAGTTCTGAAGGGGTGCAGACATGGCAGGCAATGCGGCAGACAGCGCCAACCACCTGCCCTACTTTTTTGGTAACATCACCAGGGAAGAGGCTGAAGACTACCTGGTCCAGGGAGGCATGGCGGATGGGCTCTACCTGCTGCGCCAGAGTCGCAACTATCTGGGTGGCTTCGCGTTGTCCGTGGCACACAACAGGAAAGCGCACCACTACACCATCGAGAGGGAACTTAACGGCACCTATGCCATCTCCGGTGGCAGGACCCATGCCAGCCCGGCAGACCTCTGCCACTACCACTCCCAGGAGCCTGACGGCCTCATCTGCCTCCTCAAGAAGCCCTTCAACCGGCCCCCGGGGGTACAACCCAAGACCGGACCCTTTGAGGATCTGAAGGAGAACCTCATCAGGGAATACGTGAAACAGACCTGGAACCTTCAGGTGAGTCTGGTGGGAACTGCCCCCTGAGACCGTGGAGCCCTGGCTCAGCATCACCCAGAATCCTTTGCGTCCTTACAGGAAGACTGAGTCAGCCGTGGTGGTTGAGTGCATTTTCCAGCTTCGGCTAGGTTCGGGATGCCTGCGTGGCCACGCCCCTCGCTGCCTTTGTTTCCCACTCCATCTTCGCAGGTGGTCAGAGCCCGGTCTTCGCATTCCCCTCAGCACTCCATCCTCCTTTCTCCATGTGTGTTTCATTTTACTCCGTATGTATGTATGTATGTATGTATGTATGTATGTATGTATGTATGTCATCAAACTCTGACTATTCATCACCAAGAAGATCTGTTTTTGTTCCTCTGAGAAAGATACGGAAATAAGAACTCTCAGCTATTAATGGTACTGTTTTTATTTCCACCTTTCTTTCCCACGTGGTCCAGGCTGCTGACCTGTGACTGCTCTGATGGCATTTCCTGCAGGTGTGGGAGGGGGCGGGGCAGGATGGGAGTGAGGGCAAAACTGAATCCTGACAGACAGACAGCCACAGATGCCTGCCTCACATACATCTTCTTTTATGTGTAGGGGGCAGTGGAGGAGGGTACAGGTACTACAATATGTATGTGGAGGTCAGAAAACTTGCAGGGGTCAGTCTCTCTGCCCCCATGTGAGTCCCAGGAAGCAATCTGAGATGGTCAGGCTAAGCAGCAAGCGCTTAGCCTACTGAGCTATCTCTCTACCTCAAACTCAAACACATCTCAAGCCTTCTTACCTGTTATGAGATGACTCTAGGTTTTCCCACAGAACCTAGTTTGAGTATATAGCTGTCTTTGGAGGATCCATTCAATGACTCCAGGGGTATATGACCTACATATGCAAATTCTTGTCTGGGGTATCTGACCTACATAGGCAAATTCTTGTCTGGCTTTTCAAGGACCCTTCTCTCCATCCCAAAACACACCCCTTCTTTTATACACGTGAGGACATGCAAGTAATATACAAAGATCTTATTGGTTCCCTTATTTTAGGGAATGGATAAGAGAAGGATGAGCGACAGGAAGAGTAGAGTTTGATCCTGTTTTGCTGCACAGAACTTGTGACACAAATCTAACTTCTCTGTACCTGGCCAGCTCACTCTCTCTCCATCTACTGCAGGGCCAAGCTCTGGAACAAGCCATCATCAGTCAGAAGCCCCAACTGGAGAAGCTGATCGCCACCACTGCCCACGAGAAGATGCCCTGGTTCCACGGCAACATCTCCAGAGATGAATCGGAGCAGACAGTCCTCATAGGATCAAAGACCAATGGGAAATTCCTGTGAGTATCATGTCATTTCCTAACTCCAGGGTCGCTCACCTAGGGGTAGCAGCTCCTCCAAGAGTAGAACCCAGGTGACCCCAGGAAGGTGTCACACATTCGCATTTACATGACCCAGCATGTGTTTTATCTAGTCTGAGCATAAAGTGTGACATTGTGTTCAGCCACATGGGGGTTGGGTTTGTTATCCAACATGGTGGGCCCAGGAGTACTTTGGGTTGGGGATATTTTCTGATACAGGAATATTTGCACATATATAAAGAAATGTCATGAGATCTTACCCAAGCCTGCACTAGAAATTCCTTGACCTTTTAGAAATGCTGTATGCTTATGATATTTAGGCAAGTTGTGTGTATAGGTTATCATGCTCACGAATGTGAATGTGTGTGAAGTGTATACACATGCGTGTGAAGGTCAGAGGTGGACATTGGTTCCTTATCAGTTGTTTTCCACCTCATTTATCCTAATATCTCGTTCTTATTTATTATTGTGTCTGCGCATGTTGGTGGAGGGAGTTCATGTGCCCATGGTGTGTGCATGGACGCCAAAGGACAACCTCCACGGAGTCATTTCTTTCTTTACACTTTTACATGGTTCTAAGTATTAAATCCAGGTCATCAGGCTTGGGTGCAGCCATCTTTACCCAGTGAATTAGCTTGCTGACCTTTCCTGCCCAGTTTTGAGAAACAGTCTCTCGCTGAACCTGGAGCTTGCTGCTTTGTCTGTAGTGACTTGCCTGCAGCCCCCAGGATTCCTATTGTCTGTACCTCTCTAGTGCCGAGATTACAGGCACTCGCTGCAACATCCAGATTTTTACATGGGTTTTTGGGATCAGTCTGGGACATCATGTGTGTTCTAAATACTTTACCAACTGAGCCATCGTCCCAGGCCCCTCGCTAGCATCGAGGTAATTTTCCCCACAATATTTTAGTGCTTTCAGAGTAGAGTTGCTCAGCTTGAATTCTGCTTCAAATGGCAGACAGGGTGCACACACTGTGGTGACAGAGCAAACGGAAGACAGCACAGTTTGTCCGCTTAGATCTGCCTCCAGAGTTTGGACTTCTGTTTGTGCTTGGAACTGTGCGCTAATGCAGACATCCAGCAGCAAAGTCCTGGGAGCAGCTTACACCAAACCAGGGCATAGATGTCTGCGCAGAAATGGGTCTGTGGGCTTCAGCCTGTCCAGCTCAGCTCATGAAGGCTGGCCTGGGCAACCACAGCAGGTCTATGTGAGCCAAAATTCAGAAGGTCCCAGGGCAGCGGTACAGCTAGGCAGGGTCTGTGGTCTAGAGCAGCAAGGGGTGTCATGGTGTGGGTAAGCTCTTCCAAAGATGCGTCTGCCAAAGTGGTGCTGGGAGAGTGCCTGCGTTTGTTGTCACTCAGTGTCCCTACACAGAGGCCTTCAGGGTTCTGAAGAGCCACCCCCATTCCTTCCAGTAAAACTTTCCCAGAATCAGTGAAGTTGCCTCACTGTCAGGCACACTGATCATTACCAGGCTGCCTTCCTAGAAATGCAGGTGTTTTCTCTGCATTTGCATCTGTCGCAAGAATTGTCCTCTTACTTCTGATAGGGAGGGGTTATCTCAGGGGCTGGAGAGATGACTCGATGACTAAGATCGCTGGCTCCTCATAAAAGGAGAGCATTCAGGTTCCAGCCTTGATGTTCTCTCAGTGTCCTGACTAGGGGCCAGACAGCAGCAGCTGAGAGGGTTTCCCTTAAAGGAGTCTCACAGAGAGAGGGAAATAAATGACTCACACACGCATTCCTCTCTTTATTCTTCAAGAAAATGTTCTTCCTAAAAAGTTCTCTTCCAAAAGCTAAGATTTTTCTCTCAAAAGCTATATCCTCAGAATCTCTCTCTCTAAAAGCTCTCCTAAAGTTCTCTTAAGATCTAAAAGTTCCTTCTAAGAGTTCTCTCCAGGTTCCTATAGAAATTGTCTCAGAGTCCCTTTGAAAAGTTCTCCTGAGGTCTCCCTCTCCCAAAGACTTCTAGTTTTTATACCCACAGGCATGTAACCACTCTCTGACAATAGGGCATGCATATCTCTAAGAGCCAGGAAGTACGGTAGGATCTTGAGCAAAGCAGGTGCCTCATGTCTCTCCCCTGGACGTGACTTGCAAAATTTCTTAGCAGACGTATGTCTCAGGGGGGATGTGACTTGCAACTCATGCTGTTAACTGATTAAAGGAGGATTCTCAGCGCTATATCAAAGGGGGGGGAGGACTAAGGCTATATAGTGTGAGAACCATCAGCTCTTACTGCTGATGTCCTGGTGAGAAGGAATTCCTTTCTCTGGGGCTTGTTTGAGAACACAAAGCACCCAGTATATATTCTGTAGACAGCCAAATTCATAGTAACAAATATTCTGGAGTTGGTACCTAGAATTTTAACTGCTACTTCTGTAATAAATGATACAGGCTTGAAGCACTCTTCCAAAACACTGAGGTCCAATTCCCAACACCCAAGTGGTGGCTCCCAAGTGTCTGTAACTCCAGTCCTAGGGGATCCACCACCCTCCTCTGGCCTCTGCTTGAGCTAGGCATGCATGTGGTACACAGACATACATGTTAGCAAAACATCCATAGGTATAAAAATCATAATAAAAGGACAGTCATTGTTAGATTATCTTAACCATTTCTCTTTTTCCAATTTTTCTTTTATTTTACGTACCAACTATAGTGTCCCCTCCCTCCTCTCACCTCTCCCCACACACCCTCATCACTCCTCCTTCCTCTCCACTTAAATGTGTTAAGGCCTCCCATAGGAATCAACAAAGCATGGCACATCAAACTGAGGCAGGACCAAGCTCCTCCCCCCTGCATCTAGGCTGAACAAGGCATCTCACCACAGGGAATAGGTTCCAAAGAGTCAGCTCATGCATCAGGAGCAGGTCCTGGTCCCACCGCTAAGGCCTCCCAAAGACCAAGCTACACAGTTGTCACCCAGACACAGAGGGCCTAGGCCAGTCCCATGCCGGCTCCCTGGCTGTTTGCTCAGTCCGTGAGCTCCCACAGGCTCAGGTCAGCTGTCTCTGTGGGTTTCCCCATCATGATCTTGACACCGCTCATACAATCCCCGCACCCTCTCATCAAATGTTCTCCCAGAGCTCAGCCCAGTGCTTGGCTGTGGATTTCTGCATCTGCTTCCATCAGGTACTGGATGAAGGCTCTATGATGACAACTAGGGCAGTCACCAACCTGAGTGCAAGGAAAGGGCGGTTCAGGGACCCTCTCTACTCTTGTAGGAGTCTTAGCTGGAGTCATCCTTGTGAGTTCCCCAGGCTTCTCCCTAACCCACCCCCTGCAATGACCCCCCTCTATCAAGATATCTCCTGCTCTGCCCTGCCCACAACTCAACCATCCTGATCCCTCATGTTCCTATTCCCCCACCCCCTCCCCTTCACCCCTCCCCCGGACCGCCCCAGTTTACCCAAGACATCCCATCTACTTCCTCCTCCCAGGGAGATCCATGTGGCCCTCTTAGGATCCTCCTTGTTACCTTGCTTCTCCCAGGGCTGAGGACTGTAGCCTGGTTATCCTTTGCTTTACATCCAATATCCACGTATGAGTGAGTACATACTGCGTTGTCCTCTGGGTCTGGGTTACCTCACTCTGGATGATTTTTTTCTAGTTCTATCCATTTGCCTGCAAATTTCATGATGTCATTGTTTTTTCCCCCACTGAGTAATACTCCATTATGTAAATGTACCTCATTTTCTTTATCCTTTCTTCAGTTAAGGGACATCTAGGTGGTTTCCAGATTCTAGCTATTATGAACAGTGCTGCTGTGAAAACAGTTGAGCAAGTGTCCCTGTGGTGTGACTGAGTATCCTTTCGGTATATGCCCAAGAGTCTTAAATACTTCTTCAAGAAAGAAAAGAGTAGGCAAGGTCAGCAGACCCTGGTGCCTGGAATGTGTCGTTCTGTGGGGCAGGAACCCCATCACAGTGAAACTGTAGCAGAAGGAAGACAATTCCTCCTCCTGCGGATGTGTAGCAGGACATTTTCCTGAGATTTGCTGCATTTCCTCTTCCAGCAATAGTTTCTGGCGCAAATACCCTAGCGGGCAGCATTGTAACATATTGTGCACCCAGAAGACAAGCTGACCCATGGGAGGTTACTGCTCTCTTGCTGCCCAAAGCTTTTGTTCTCAAGCTCTTTGGGGGGAAGAACTGTGGCCACAGATTTCCCCCAAGTTCTGCACTCCTACTGTTTCCCAGGGACAAGTGTAACCCACACAGAAGGCAGGAAGTCCTCCAGCAGTCTGTCAGTCATGTCACAGACATCCCACGTCTCATTATGCCACATTGCACCCTAACACTGGGCCTTGTAGTTTATGCAGGGGATTTTCAAAGCTGTGTGTGCCCATATCAATTAGTAAGGAGCTCAAAAGATGCCGATCCTTCCGGACCGGGGACCTGTGTGGGTGTCTGTGTTTCCACAGTGTGCCCACAGTCCCTTTGGGAGTGGGTCCTGCTTTAGGGAGCAATCACCTAAATGTCCACTGTAGACACGAACTTCTCAGACACTGCCCTCCCTACATTTGTGTTGCCAAAGAGCCAACCCCACTCCTTCCCAGACTCCTGCTACTCCTGCAGGACTTGCCCATGGATGGATGTGCAGAGCTCCAGCTAAGGCCTCAGGCAGGGTGAGAGTCAGAAGCAGGTGCCATGTTTGGAGAAGGTGGGACCCTTCTTCAGACCCCACCTTCAGATCTGCTGTAGGGTCAGGCTGAGTCCTCTAGATCTGGGCTTGATGATTGAATATTTCTCTCTCTTTCTCTCCCTTCCATCCTCCCTCCCTCCCAACCTCTCTATCCAAGGTCAAGGCTGGCTTCAAATGCATTGTGTAGCCAGGCTGTCCTTGAGCTTATGGCCCCCCTGGCTCTCTCTCCTTAGTGCTGGAAATCCGGGCGTGGACCACCACACCTAGTTTCTGCAGTACTGGGGATTGAACACAGGGCTTCATGGGTGCCAGGCAGATGCTCTACCCACTTCTC